TATTTTCAGGAAAACAACTGTAGATATTGAATGGAGGATCCCAGGTAAACATCAAAAAAATAAGGAGTACTCGAGAGGAAGAAGTGCAACTTGTACTAGAAGAAGGAAGTGGAAAAGCGAGAAGTTTTATGGAGGAAGTGGTAACTAAATGTAACGATGTTAGTGTCTCGATTAGAACATACGGGCAGATAATATACATCACGGGAATTAAACTGACGACGACCGAAGAGGACATTAAAAATGGGATAAGGGACGTAGTAGGGATAGAGAAGGAGGACGTTCAAATAAAGTCAATTAAGGAGGGCAAATACAAGGAGAAAACTGCAGTAGTGGAACTACCGAAACAAGCAGCAAAGGCACTGATACAGGAAGGCCCTATCAAAATAGGATGGGTAAGCTGTATAATAATGGAAAAAGTAACTGTAGATAGGTGCCTGAACTGCCTTGACCACGGACATAAAACGAGGGAATGTAGTAAGGAAAAGCAAGCAAGGAGATGCCTAAACTGTGGACGGGAGGGGCATAAGGCACAGGATTGTAAAGAGTCTTTCTGCACTAAGTGCAAGGAAACTGGACATAGGGCGGACCGAGCGAAATGTCTCCACTTCAGACTTCTACTTGATGAAGCTAGGAGTAAGGGCAAGCCACCGAGGAGAACAAGGAAAAGGGTAGAAAGCATAACGAGCGTTGCAACAGATCTCTCTGTGGGACGACAGTAATGCAAAAAGGTGGGTAGGAAATAATGAGAGTGAAAATACTACAAATAAATGTGTGGAGGGGATATAGGGCACATGATGTTATGGAAGCGGAAGCATATAGAATTAAAGCGGACATAATTTGTATACAGGAACCTAATAAGAAAATAATAAAAGACAAGCATTTAATATCAGATATAAACAAATACGTTGCGATACAAGTTATAAACAAGCACATAGGGATAAAAGAACATCACGCTGAAGTAGGTTATGTCAAAGTAGTGTTTAACAACTGTTTATTATATAACTGTTACATTTCACCAAATGTAACGCAAGGGGAGTATGAAAAAATTATAGACAATAAAATGACGAATGCGCAAGTCGAAAGGAATAAAAGTATTTTGATAATTGGGGACCTAAACGCCAAATGTTACCTATGGGGTGGAAATACAAATGATAAAAGAGAATCTAATGGAATGAATGGCCGAAAATGACCAGGTAGCCGTAAATGATGGCATAGACAAAATACACATATAGACCGGACACTCTGTCAAAAAAGTGGTTGGTCTGAATGTGCTGCCATCCATTGGGGTCCAACAAAACCTATTACAGGAACCTATGAGATTTTAGCATTTATTGGCAAGAATTCTCACACATTTAAATGTAGCAGGTGAGATTGAAGTTAGGAATTAAAAATACATATATTTGCTGTATACTTATATATTGAACTGTTACTAAATAATACACTCAAATATATAATAAAAATAAAATAAATAAAGGATAATAATATATAATACATAAATGACATACATTTTAATTTAAGAACAATTTTACTACTTACTTTATAAAAATAAACGTTTACGCGTAATGTCATAATGGCGTAATGGCGTACTGTAAACAATAACAATTCGTTTAGGAATTCTTCTTTTCCATTATTTAGATTTGACTTAGCTGCCAATGCTCTTCGGCAACAGAAAATGTTGTTGGGCCCCTATAGATGGCGTTGCAAATCGTTCTCCAAAATTTTCAAGAGTAAGTGCCACCCCCCTGAATGATGGTATAAAGCCGACATTTGTTAGGGGAAAATCGAGCTCTTATATAGACGTAAGACTAGCGAATGCAAACATGTATAGAAAAGTGAAAACCTGGAAAGTCTCAACAGAAGAATCGATGAGTCACCACCGCTTCATAGTCACGGACATTAAAGGCAAACAGACGAAGAGGCCACTATTTCAAGGTAAAATATCGACAAATAAAGAAACGATCAATACTACATTGGAACTGCTGAAAAACACGGTTAACGGGAAACCAACTAAGACGATAAAAGCTCTTAAGACGGTTCAAAAAATGGCACAGAAAAAAGTACCACAGAAAAAATGCAGGGAACTGCCATACTGGTGGACAGATAAGACCAGGGACATGAGGAAGCTGTGTAATGAGGTTAGAAGGAAACTTACAAGTGGCAGGCGAAAACAAAACATGACCAAAGAACAATTAAAGTGTCTGAAAGTGGAATACAAACAAGCAAAGAAAGAATATGGCAACGAAATTGTTAGACTTTATTTGATATATAAATATCTTTATTCAGAACTTCCAAATTACAACTCGTTAAACTGCGACGGCAGAAAAAAATTAACATCAACAAAACAAAAAACAAGAAGTTGCCAGACACTTCATCTGTCAACTGTCATACACAAAGTGGTCTTTTACTGACCGGTAAAAAAATAAATGTATTAGTTGAAGTTGAATATCCAATACCCTCCCTCAACTAATAAGTTATTAAAAAAAAACTGTATTGATAAATTAAATGTATTAATACAGTCCAACAATGGGCCTAATGAATAAAAGTGAAGCAATTGCTTTTTCTTATAAAATTGAAGTCATTGCTTGGAATCCAATGAATAAAAACTGAAGTATTTGCTTTTGCTTTAAGCAATTGCTAAGGAATTCAGCAATTGCCTTGAGCCAAAGCTTTTTCTTAAAAAACAGAAGCAATTGCTATAATTTGCTTAAAATTTGATGAATAAATTAAGCTATTGCTTTTTCTAGTATAGCAATTGCTTCCAAATTTTTAAGGTAGGGTAACCGCAGCATCATTTGCTTGCTAAATAGTCGACTTTGGTTCTCTTTGCATACAGTTTCTTGTATTTTGTGCTAAATATGGCTGAATATATGAATGTGCGTAAAGAAAAAATATATAGTGTACGTAAATATTGTAGAGATGAGGATTTTAGAAAGTTATACCGTTTTGAAAGTTATACCGGTTTGACCACCGCAAAAATGTTGAGTGGTTAGCTAATTATTTTTTAAAAGAGACTGGTGAAAAGCGCGGAGCTGCGCTATCAAGTCTGGATAAAATGAAAATATTTTTAGGGCAATTGTCGGATCCGTGCTACCAAAATTCTGTAGCTGAAGAACTCGGTATTCATCAAACGACTGTGTCAAAAGTTTCTAAATTTGTAATGGATGCTGTTATGGAAAAGGCAAATATGTTTATTAAATTTCCTAAAAGTACTGAAAATGTTGTTAAAGCTAAACTATTGTGGTCAGGGAAATACCGTTTTCCAAATGCTATCGGTGTGATAGACTGTACACACGTCCGGATTCCAAAATTTAAAGAATTCGGTGATGAATATATAAACCGAAAAGGATACTCCAGCATAAACGTTCAGCTAACTTGTAACGCTAAGGAAATATTTACCAGTGTAGATTGCCAATGGCCAGGCTCTGTACATGATAACAGAATTTTTAAAAATTCTAATATATACAACATTCTCAAAAACTGCACAGAAGAATGTTTGTTATTAGGAGACGATGGTTATTCTATATCGCCTTGGATTATGACACCCTGGAGGAATCCAGCAACCGAAGAGCAACAATATTTTAACAACGTTTTCTGCCGAGAACGGGTAATTATTGAGCGATGTTTTGGACAATTAAAAGCAAGATTCCCTGTCCTTCAATACAAAGTTAGGAGGAAATTAGAAAAAATGCCATCGACAATAATTGCGTGCGTAGTTCTTCATAATATTGCCAAGTTTTTAAATGATGAAGACTTTCAGTCTCCCGATGATGAAACTAATTTTGAAATGAACATACCAACTAATAATAATTTAACACCAAATTTAATTCGTCAATTAGGACAACAAAAGAGAGAATTAATAACCCAAATTCTCTTCAATAATCGAGTAAGTATTAAAATATTAATCTTAATGTAAATAATTATAGTTATTTGAAAAAGCAACAGTAGATTCTAGAAAATAAACATAAATTTAACAGGTAGTTCTGAAGCAAAAAAATAAACATAAGTAAATACAAATTTAACTTAAAAGATTATAGATTATAAAATATTTTGCCTTTTTCTCCTTGACTAAATTGTTGTTTGTCTTCATTCTCCTGTTTTCTTTTTAAAATTTCTTCCTGTTGCATACGACATAATTTCAGTTACTCTAATAAAACTAAACGTTGCAGTTCAGCATTTGATAATGATTTGGTCTCATCAGTTTCAGGCAAGCTATTTGATATTTTTATTTTTTTTCTAGGAATAGTCGATGTTGTTTCTGTTGCTATAAAAGGGTTACTCGATGATGTACAGGATTTATCCAGTAATACTCCTTCATCGACTCCAACAGACATAGCGCCTTAAAATATATTTTTTTTGTATAAGAGAATATATTATTATAAAAATGTTTTACCTGGTATTTTTTTAAAGATGGGATTCTTTTCAACCTCCAACATTTCCAAAAGTAATTTTTCCCAAGGCTTAAATACTATTGGTTTATTACCGGTTTTATTAATATTAAATTTCTTTTTTATTTCAACTTTCATATTACTATTTTTTTTTGATAATTGTTTTGCTGTAAGTGTGATATTATAAATATCTTTATATTCCTGTACCAGGTCAGCTAATTTTAATTTTTGTACAAATATCATTTGTTTATCTGTAATTTCCTCGTCACTACTATTATTAAATTCTTCACTCTCTGCCATATTAGTATTATTATTATTTATGAAATCACTGTAACACACTTAGATATTCTTAAAAATATAACTGTACTAAGTTCGTACATAGCACTAATATGGAACAAGAATGAGTAGGGACGTAGGGATCACGACGTTGTAAACCTACGCCGGCAAGTCTGGACTTGTGTTGGGGAAGCAATTGCTACGTTGATTTCAGAAAAAGCAGCATTTGTTTAAAAATTTATTCATAACGAGCTCTAGCAAATACTTTTGCTTAAAGCAATTGCTAACTAAGCAATTGCTTTTGCTAATAAGCAAATGCTTCAAGTAATTGCTTCATTTTTATTCATTAGGCTCAATGTCACTGAACCTCTTAATAGTTTCTCCTGTCAATGGCTTGGTCAACATATCCGCCAACATATCACCACTTTCTTTATACTTCAATTCCACTATCTCATCTTCTACTAATTTCTTGACGAAGTTATATTTCATGTCTACGTGTTTCAGTCTTTTACTAAGTCCGCCATGATAAGCTTCAGCGATGCTACTTTGATTATCTTCAAAACAAATCCAAGGACGTTCAATCACAACGCCAAGATCCTGCAAAAGTCGCTCGATCCAAATGGATTCTCTTAAAGATTCAGCTATGGCCACATATTCCGACTCGATCGACGAAAGAGCGACTATTGATTGCTTCCTGGAACACCAAACTAGAAGGTCATCTTCAAGTTGAATTATAAATCCGGTAATTGACTTCCGGTCCTTCCGATCATTCGCCCAGTCTGCGTCTGTATGAATGTTCACTACCATGTTCATTATGTCTGAAGTCTGAATGTTACCTATGTGAAGGCGTTTATCCTTTGTAGTATTTAGATAACGGAAAATCCGTTTCACTTCCGTTAAATCCTTATATCTGGGATTTGAAACTCTTTGCGAAAGAATACCCACAGATGCAGAAATATCCGGCCGTGTGTTGTTTGCTATGTAGAGTAGTGAGCCAATCATGCTGCGGTATTCCTTTTGGTTAATGACCTCACTCTCATTGTGCTTATCATCTTTATGATAACCTGGATCCATTGGATACTTGCTGCTTCTGGAATCAGTTAATTTATAGAAGTTTAATTTTTCTTTTAAGTATCCTTCTTAATGCAACAGAAATTCACCATTTTTACTCTGTTCTATCTGAATCCCCAGATAAGTATGTATTCTTCCGAGATTCTTTAATTTTACTTCTCTATTAGTGTTATGTTCGAAGTATGTATACAAATCCGCTGATGATGCGGCCACGGAAATATCATCTACATGAACACCAAGAAACATTTCACCCTGTGAACTGTGGTACACATACAGGCAAGGATCGTTCTCACTTTTTCTAAAACCGATATCCTACAAAATCTCATTCCAACGTTTATACCATTGAAATGCTCCTTGTTTCAATCCATAGATACTACGATTCAATTTACATACCCTAACGTCGCCCTCTTCTGCGTGATAAGGTGGTTGTTTCATATATATCTTATGATGCACTAACCCGTATAAAAATGCTGATTCTATATCATAATGGCGTACTTCGTATCCCCGCTGTGATGCAACCAGCAGGATAGCTCTAAATGTTGCTGGGTGCATGACTGGAGCGAATATTTCATCGTAGTTCTCACCAAACCGCTGGGAATAACCCTGGGCTACTAGTCGTGCTTGGAATAACTAGGCTACATGTCGAATGACAATTCCGTGATCATCTGTTTTACTTTTGTAGACCCATTTGCACCCTATTACAGGTTTCCCCTTCGGAAGATCCACCAGCTCCCATACATTATTTCTCTCCATTGACTCTAATTCTGCTATCATTGCCAATTCCCATTGAAGATGGTCGTTACACATAAGAGCATCCTGCACTGTTAAAGGGTCACGAACGCTTGTGGACTGAACTTTATTAATTGTCTCTATTAGCCTGATGGGTCTTCTACCCTTCGTAGTTCTTTCTGATCTTCGTAACTGTGTCTATATCTTCTTCTTCTTCCTGATACGGAAGTTCAATGAGATTATTAATTGTTGATAGCTTCTTTTTATCCGGATGCAATATTTGTTCTGGAAAATAAACGTGTCTACTTACAACAATTTTTGATTCATGTGGTAACAGAAGTCTATATGCTTTACTTCCTGGTTCATACCCTACGAAAATACACTGTTGTCCGGTACTGTCTAATTTCCTACGTTTCCCTTTCGGAATCAAAGAGACTGCGGGGGCGCCAAACTTTTGAAGATGAGCTAAATTAGGTTTAGATTCGAACCACAATTCGTATGGAGTTACATTCATTTTCTTTCCTGGTACCCGGTTCAATAATTCTGTGGCGGTCATAGCAGCCTCCCCCCAAAACTTCTTTTCAAGATTCGCCTGTAAGATAAGACACCTCACCATTTCAATTAAAGTACGATTTCTCCTTTCAGCGACTCCATTTTGTTCAGGTGTATAACCAGCTGTGTATTGAGTCCTAATCCCCTTCTTCTTATAAAATTCTTCTAGGTCAGCATTACAATATTCTTTCCCACGGTCACTTCGTATAACATTGACTGTTTTATTAAACTGATTTTCCATTTCTCTAACAAAACATTTGATCTTCTCCTGAGTTTCTGATTTCTTCTTAAGTAGATATATTTTCATATAGCGACTGTAATCATCAATGAGCGTCAGGATGTATCTATTACCACCTGGAGTCTTTGGTTCGATTGGGCCACATATATCGGTATGTACTAATTCTAATTTCTGTTTTGAGTGTGACGAACTTTTCTTTGGAAAAGGTGATTTAGTGGCCTTCTGCGTAGCACAAATGTTGCATTCATCGTCGTGATTACATGGATTGATAAACATGTCGTTTGCCATGTTCTTTTCTGCTAAAAGTTTAATATCGTTGATGTTCCGATGTCCCAAAATATGATGCCAGTCATGAATACACCTTGGTTTGTGAGTAACTTTGAATATCATTTGTTTCTCATTTACGCGATATAACTTGTCTTCTAGCGTAGCTGTAAGAACCGTATCATTTCCTTTCCTTACGTAGCATCCTGATTCATCAAAATATACTTCAAGTCCCTTATTTGTAACACAACGTATGTATAACAAGTTACTGTCAAGTTCAGGAACATAAAGCACTTGTTGCAATAAAATTGGCTTCTCACAATGACATGGCTGCAACTTAACGGTACCGCTTCCTTTTATATCCAATTGCCTACCGTCAGCCACTGAAACTTTGCCACGAACTGACTCCTTATAGTTATAAATTAGTCTACGATCATTACACATGTGTGATGTTGCACCGGAATCCAGATACCAAGCACTATTCTTTTGAGTCCCTTTGTTTACTTTCAAACATAAATGTACTTCTTCCACCAATGAACTAGTCTCACTGTCACTATTGCTGTCATTATGATCACATTTCTTTGCTTTGTCATGTTTCCCCGATTTGTTATCGTTGTATTTAAGCCATGCTGCATATTTTCTGCAATCTCTCTTCAAATGACCATTTCTCTTACAGAAGAAACATTCCATTCCATTTTCTTCTTTGATTTTGTCTGTACGATGCTTCGTTTTATTTACCGAATAACCATTCTTTGTTATTTTCATTGCCATATCTAATTTTTCCTCATGAGCTACTGCGTTAGCAATTCGTCGATCTGCTTCTTCCAATAACTTGTCTCTAATGTACCCTTGAGTTATTTTATCATCAGGCTGATTTGTCAATGACATAATTAGTGGGCCAAAATCTTCAGGAAGGCTACTTAGCATTAGCGCAGCACACAATCTATCGCTAAGGATTGTACTGTTTATCACTGAGAGCTGATCCATTAGACTTTCTAATCGTTCAATATGTGCATGCATGTCACCATCACTTTGTAACTGAGCTGTGCATATTTTTCTCAACAAAGAAACTTCTTTACTAAGAGTAGATTTTTCATAGTAATTTTGCAAACTCTTCCACATCGATTTAGCAGATGATTCCTTCTTTATAAAACGTATTTGACTGTCTTCAACGGATAATGATATGAAACTTTGGGCCGTCGCATCCATGCTTTTCCATGCATCAGTAATGGGCGTTGGAGCAGTTTCCTCGATGCAGTTCCATACTCGTTCCTTTAACAAAAACAATCGCATACGATATGCCCAAACATTGTAATTTGCTCCATTTAATTTAGCAATGGTAAACTTTACTGAATCCGCCATTTTGTCCTTTGTTGACTGTGTCTGTGCGTCTGTCGTCTCTATTGTAATTTTATTCCAAACTGTTTACGGTTACTACTGCTGTGTCCGTGTCTGTGTTCCTTCTGTATTAGTGGCCTGGGCCCATAACCTGTTAGACTTTATTTGATATATAAATATCTTTATTCAGAACTTCCAAATTACAACTCGTTAAACTGCGACGGCAGAAAAAATTTAACATCAACAAAACAAAAAACAAGAAGTTGCCAGACACTTCATCTGTCAACTGTCATACACAAAGTGGTCTTTTACTGACCGGTAAACAAATAAATGTATTAGTTGAAGTTGAATATCCAATAGAAATCAACAAGTCCAAGCGCGAGAGTGCTGGAAACAATGGTGCGCGGAGGTAGATAATGATGTCTGGGGCCTAGGATATAAAATAGTGACCAGAAACGTTAAACAAAAGAATTACCCATACGAACTCGATACAACAGATTACAACTTTACAACAGACATTTCTCGAACATTAAAAACAGAAAATTTCATACATTTGCTGATATCAGCATTTCCTGTCCATTCGGAAACTGAACGTACTGGGGAATCAAATTGGCCAACGAACCCACAATGGTTTGAAATACTCCATGGACAGTGCTTCTTGCGAGTCCAAATCTATCTCCTGCAGTTAAGAAATAATCTGGTTTTCCAATGGTCCATAGAGAAATTATTTTTTTTTATCAGTCAATATATCGTCCCTATCGTGAGCAATATTCTTTCCCAGCATGTTGCGCACGTCCTACTTTTTCTTACTCCTTCCTACAATACCCTACTCATTCTTACTCCTACCTACTCCTTCCTACTAATTCGTACTCCTTACTACTCCTTCCTATTCCTTTTTACTCCTTCCTACTCCTTCCTACTCCTACCTACTCCTTCCTACTAATTCGTACTCCTACCTACTCCTTCCTACTAATTCGTACTCCTTACTACTCCTTCCTACTCCTTCCTACTCCTTTTTACTCCTTCCTACTCCTTCCTACTCCTTCCTACTCCTTCCTACTCATTCCTACTATTTCCTACTCTTTCCTACTCCTTCCTACTGCTTCCTACTCCTTCCTGCTTTCATCCGATTCGAATAGGGCCGTAATTTGCTGATTCTGCAGGTTCCGTGTTCTCAACCATCCCCCTAATATACACTGTCGCTAAGTCATCTTCCCCTATTTGTCGAACCTTGATCCCTTCCTGTCTGCTTAACGCTTCACTGATATTTTTTAGTACCTCTTTATCCTTATCCATTGTAATCATCAGTTTACCATCTCTTGTACCTCTTACATTTCGAACAACATTTACCATGCTCTCATCTGCACCAATTACTTCCTTTACCTTCTGTAACGCTTCGCTGTATTGTCCTTCATCCTAGCTCAATATTATACCATACATCTTCCTTGCCCTTTTGTTATTTTCAGGAACCTCTATTTTTCTTTTCGTTAAGAAAACTCCAACTTTCGTCTCTGTTCTTTTAAAGATCACTTCACACATCTTTCTTATTTCTTCCACACTCATATTCTCTGTACAGGGTGTCTACTATAAAAACCGCCAAACTTCAGGAGGTGATTATACAAGTAATTTGCAACAAAAAATGTCCTATAACAATTTTTCTAAAAGTCGATAGTTTCTCTTTTATTTAACATTTCATTATTTAAAAAATTTTTTTTTTGATTTTTTCCAAAAAGACCGAAATATCCCATATATGTACATGCCAAACAATACTAAATTTTCACTAAAACAAATTTAAGTAAAACAAGTATTTCCATTAAATAAATTTGAACCCTATAAAAATTGTTCAAATTGTCCTCCTCTTTGTTCAACGCATTTAAGACAACGTTTTCTTACGCAACTAACAACTCTCTGAAGTTCTGTTCTTTTTTGCCTTAATTCTTCACAACATACTCGTATTCGTAAACGTAAAAAATGAAGTGGTGTCAGGTCAGTACTTCTGGGTGGCCACCTTATTGGATGGTACCTGCCAATCCATTTCTCCCCAAAGTATTGGTTTATCCAGTTTAGAATAATTCTGCCATTATGAGCAGGGCAACCATCCATTTGGAACCAAATTTCCTGTCTAACAACTATGGGCATTTCTTCGAATTTGCCAAATAGATGGTTGTTTAATAAATTTAAAAACTCATTAGAATTTAGGCGATTTGATAGTATTACTAGCCATAACAGACGGCCGTTAAATAATCCCAACCACACATTCACTCTAAAATCATTCACTCTAAAAATGTGATACTAAAGTAGCATGAGGGTTTTCCGGCACTTTTAAAGACCTGTATCTTCCTTTAACACGCCTATGAAAGATTTTAAGGAAAATTTAGGCATTTTCTTCAAATTTCTTTCATTTTTTTTATACAGAATCACTAATTAATTTTTTGTAATTTTTATTTTCAGGATATTCTTGTTTGAACAACTTTGTATTTTATAACATATACCTTTAAAATTTCTACAAAAAATATTTTACTAAATATCTGAGTATACCTCTTAAAAGCTTATTAAATACAGTAGTTTTTACTAAAAAAAACTTGTGAATTTTATAAAATTGTTGGCTTTACGACCATTAAAAGATAATTTTGTTCATTTCATATTCATAACAATTAAATCTTTTATAACACCCGGTATTGATTTTTTTTAACTCTGATAAATACTTTTTTTATAGCAAATTTAATGCACTTTTACGGTATATGATCAAAATTAATGTGACTAAACGAATAAATGTGATATTTTGGTCTTTTTGGAAAAAATCAAAAAAAAATTAAAATAATGAAATGCTAAATAAAAGAGTGTTATAGGACATTTTTTGTTCAAGATTACTTGTATAATCACCTGAAGTTTGGCGGTTTTTATAGTAGACACCCTGTATAGTATGGGTCTTACGCTCTTTACAACCGAGTTACAGTGCGTTTTTTGAATTTGGCCCATTTCTTTTAGGGCTTATAACTTTTGAATCACTCAGTATAATTATTTCATATTTTGCACAGAGAATCTACATGTTTTGAACAATTTATCGATGCACTCAAAAATTTCAAAATCCAGGTCCGGCTTAATAAAAATTATTAAAGTTTGACTATCCCCAAAACAGCACCCTATACATTGAATTTTTAAATATTGAATTTCAAATTTTGTAAGAGCACAAAAAACTGAATATAACCATCAACTTTTTACTTTTGCGCATGCCGTTTTACTACCAACATTTTAACTTTAAAATGTACATTATTAGAATTTTTAGGGGTTCTAATTATTTTTTCTTTGTTAAAATTAAATTTATTCAACTTTTTCATGGAAATTCCATTAATAAACGGAATGAATTTGAATTAATATTCACAAAAATCAATAAAAATCATTATTACAGATGCGACCTTAAGGGAATTTAAATGAGTCAAATTCATTTATTCATTAAGCAGTTATAAATTTTTTTAATTTTTTTTAATTACGACAATTTTTGTAATCATTGGTCATTTCGGACCGATTTTCTAATTACTTCGGGGTTGTTCTTTATTTCCCTGCAAGCATCTTGTATTATTTTGATGAGCTCATTCCTAGTATTTAGGTACTTCAGAAGAATACACTTATGATTTTAGATGACCCCAGACGTAATAATCCATGGGAGAAAAATATGGTGACCTTGAAGGCCAAATATGACCAATGATTACTAAAATTGTCAAAATTAAAAAAAATAACGAATAGTTAATTAATAAATAATTTTGACTTATTTAAAATTTCTTAAGGGCGGATCTGTAATAACGATTTTTATTGATTTTTGTAAATGTTAATTCAAATTCATTCGGTTTATTAAAGGAATTTCTATGAAAAAGTTGAGTAAACTTAATTTTAACATGAAAAAATAATTATTAATTAATTCTAATAATGTAATTTTAACGTTAAAATGTTGGTAGTAAAACGGCGTGCGCAAAAGTAAAAAGTTGATGGTAATATTCAGTTATTTGTGCTCTTTCCAAATTTGCAATTCAATATTTAAAAATTCAATGTACAGGGTGTTGTTTTGGGGATAGTCAAACTTTAATAATTTTTATTAAGCCGGACCTGGATTTTGAATTTTTTAGTGTATCGATAAATTGTTCAAAAAGATGTAGATTATCTGTGAAAAATATGAAATAATTATACTGAGTGATTCAAAAGTTATAAGCCCTAAAATAAATGGGCTAAATTCAAAAAACGCCCTGTAACTCGGTTATAAAGAGCGTAAGACCGTAAGAGCGTAAGACATTTTTTGGGAAAAGTATACATTTTGAACCAGCAACATACTGGCATATTCAGGATATAAAGGATATAAAGGATATAAAGAACATATTTATGTATTTACAGAACACAAAAAACAATCTTTCAATAAGGATTAAATAAAGCAAAAATACTAATTAAATATTTTATTACAAACTGAAACTGAAAAAATTAAAAGAACTGTTAACTGATCAAAAGAACGTATTGGTAATATTTTAAAATTAGAAGGAACAACAGAAATTGTATTTAATAATACAGCCCATTTCACTGATAATAATTCTCATGAAATAATATTACATTGTAAAGATTGCTATAGTTTTCATAAAAAATTCTACTTGAGTAATCTTTCTTTGGCTCAACTATAAGTAAACCGTTTGCTTTATCTAAATAACCTAATACGCCTGGTACTTCCTCTGCAGTTGTCAAAGTCCTATTTACTTTAACTAGTCGATACTCTAGACAATCATCATTATTATATGGTAACGAATGCTAAAAAATAAAATTTATTGTAATATTATATTCTATACTCTGTTTTCTATTAAGAAGTAATAAAAAAAATAATAAAGCAGTAATTTATAGGGGCACTAACAAATAAATACAACCTAGTAACAGGTAATACCCTGTATACTGAGAAAACTAATAAAGTAAAATAAACATAACTATTATACAATGTAAAGCGGTAACGTTTTGGAATTTTATGATTTTTTTCATTAATTCACGCCTGATGTATTTTACATATTAATTACCTACTTTTCATATTATTTGCAAATTTAGGTTTTATTAGTATCTCCTGATAGCGAACGGATTATATTAGAAAAATAAAATTTTTAGGAAAAAGTGAAGCTTAGTTATTTCAAACAAAACGTATTTCAAATATAATTATTTCACTATTAACAAAATTTTTACTTACTACATCAAATGAATTTGGTGATATAGAACTAGTTAGAAAACGTTCGTAGAGAGATTTTTCCATTAAGCGTAGAGCAGGAATAACGAATAATATACAAGTTACTGCACAGGAAAATATATTACCCGTTAGGCCAAACACTATTTTCCATGTTTCATTATACATAAGTGTCGCAAAGGTCGTGTATTTTCTATAATACAATGATAATCATTTAATCATTGAAATCTTTCAAGTTACGAAACTTTGACTTACCCGGATTTCATGTTTACTCTGTAAAAATATATAGTAGCTTGAAAATCTTCGACGAGAACCCGTTTCAACATGTCCAAATCTCCCATTGAACTGTTCGTTATAATAACATCGTTACAAGTAAAACTTTGTTCAAGAGCTTGCTTTATTGCATCAGGACTAAAAATACATCAGGATTAATTATTACTTGTCTTTAGCTATACCACAATCGTTTGCTTCATAATGGAAATTTTTAAGCAAATTAATTATGGTGCATTTATTTGCATCTTTGATTTTGCCAGGGGCTAGTTCTTCTTTAGGTTCACAAATATCATTGTCAATTGACATGATTCCTATAGAAGGGCGTCTAGAAAAAAAATGTATTAAAGTAAAGTTTCACAATTAATAAGTATGGCGTCGAATGATAAAGAACCGCCTGATCGCGCTCCTGAACGATATTACAAGTGCCATCCAACAACAAGGGTATCCGCAGTTGTTTGTATAATTTGTGAAAATATATATCATGTAAATGATTTCAAAAAGTGTAATAACGTAAAGTTTATAACAGATACTTTAGTACTCTGTTCGGAACATGCAGAGGTCAAACTAACCTTAAAAAAGGATGATGTCGTACTAAACAAACAAGCCAGAATAATCATATCAGAAATTAAATCGAAACAAAAGGAAGAAATTAGACAAGAGTTATTAAGTGAAGTGTCAGTGAATAAGGCAATACATCGTGACGGTGGTGTTTTAGATGCTGTGCAAGTTGAACTTAACCTGCTTAGGCAATTGAACGTGGAACTTCAAGAAAAAAACAACATCTTAAAGGAACAGATAGAAAAACTAAAAAACGAAAATGAAAATAAAATTGTTAAAAAGTCGTAAGCTGATGTGGTTATTAATGTGAAGCCAAAGCTGAAAAAAGTGCCTAAAAATTATTATAAAAAAATCTTCCAAAGATACGAAATCTAACATCAAACAAATGGTAACGAACTATCTGATAAAGGACAAGTCTATACAAACTAAAAAATTAATTGTCAAGAATGAAGAAGAAATTATTATTCATTGTATGAATGAGGAGAGTGCTAATACGGTTGAAAAAATGTTACATAAAGAGATGCCTAATACTTGTAGTGTCAAAAAAGAATCAATCAAGAACCCCATTATAAAAGTTGTTGATATCAAGTACGAAAGTACTAGCATGAAAGATATAGTTAAAGACATAAATGAAAGAAATTTTAAATCGTACGTAAACAAGTGTAAAATGGTACATTCATATACCAATGAAAAGGCAAAAACATCAAGTATACTGCTTGAAGTAACCTCAGATTTATATAAATACATAGCTGATAACAAATACAATATTTTTGTGGGTTGTCAAAGTTGCCGGGTATATGACTGTATTAACCTAAAACCGTGTTACAAATGTGGTCGTTTTGGGCATAATACAAAAAAGTGTAATAATACAGAGATCTGCTTGAGATGCGCTGATGTGCACCCGACTGAAATGTGCGCAGAGCCAAATCAGATAAAATGTGTCAATTGTAAGTTTATGAACTTGAATTTCAAGAAGAATTATAATGTGAACCATATGGCGAATGACTATGAAAAATGTGAGATATTAAAAAAGAAGATTCAAAATCATATTCAGCTAACCGACTATCCAGTACAACCTACTTTACCAGCTTTCGATGGTAAAGCACCATTACCGCCAAAGAGAAGAACCAGGGAAGCTTCTATGACGACTATAAGAATGTCAACGATGACAGGACCAATGTCTAACCAAGCCTGCACTCCCCAGTCGACTAATTAATGGGTTTACAATTAAACTTTAATATATTAGACATTATAAAAATTGAAAATAGCTATCCTAGCGTTGCGGATTTTAATAATGATTGTTTCGGAAATAAAAATTTGATACTTTATGTTAATATTAGGAGTCTTAATGCTAATTTTGAGAAACTTGAGGTATTCTTAGAGAGCCTTGAGATTAAACCAATTGTCATAGTATGTACTGAAACTTGGAACTTGGAATATTATCAGTTTTTTGGTTTAGATGGTTATCAAATTTTTTACAACAATAGCACGCTCAATCAAAATGATGAAGTTGTTATATATATAAAAAAAAATGTCTCCTATAATGTTTCCAATGAAAAAGTCAATGAACTGGGTATCCTAAGTTCTGAGTTGAAAATTGATGGCAAAAGAGTATTGAAAATCTCTGCATTGTATAGGTGTAACAATCTGAGTAAAAATTATTTAATTAATGGTTTAGAAAACTACTTAGACTTAAATCTAAATTGTAAAAATCATTGATCTTGGCATTGATCATTGATCATTGATCTTGGATCTTGAAAAGGCATTAAACAAACTATCTCTAAATGTTGATAAAACAGTTTTTATTGCCTTTGGTAACTACAGTGATAGTGTGCCAAGTTTGCTAGATGTGGAAATTGACAATAAGAATCTCAAAAGAGTCGAATTTTATAAGTATTTAGGGGTAATTATTGATTACAATCTAAAATGGAATGTGCACATTGATTATGTGCTAAAAAAAACAAAATTCTTGGTATTTGTCTTCAAAAAGATTTCGAAAATATTGTCAACTCAAAACTTGTTAAGAGTTTACTATGCACTACTTCATAGTTGCATAACCTACGGTATCATTGCATGAGCGAGAAGCATATAAAACAAGTTTAAATCTGTTGCAAAAACTCCAAGATAGAATCCTGAAGATTGTAACTGGAAGTGGTGATTAGCCTTTTGTTTCGCCACTGAATTTGTCTCAGATGTTTGTACTTGAATCTCTATATAGTGAATACAATAATTTAAAAAACACGTACCGCCACTCACAAGAAAAAACAAGAAGTAGAGGTATAGTTATGCCAAAAACAAGATTAGCTGTCAGCGAAAAGAACAGTGAGCTGATTGCCATTAGAGCATTTAATTCACTACCCAGTGAGTTAAAGGCTCTAAACTTTAATAGAGTTACTGTTAAAAATAAGCTAAAGACTTGGATAAAGCTTAATTATTAGAATTTTTAGTTGGATTTTGATGTAATTGGAATGTGCACATATGATACATTAGATATTTGTCGTTTTCATATAGTATATAGTTTGTTGAGACTGACATTTTAATTTATTTATTCGATATGGAACTGTTATTAATTTTTGATAAATTTGGATGTTTTTGTTATTGCTGTTTTTTCAGTTTAGAATATTTTTGTGCAATATTCTTAGTTGTAAGTATATGTTTGTATGTGTTTGTTTTGATGCCGGGCCTATGTACAGATAATTATTTATCTCTATAGGACATGTTCTGTTATGACATGTATTTCTCCTGGTAAATAAATAAATAAATAAATAAATAAATAAATAAAAAGAGGGGAACTTTTAGGAAACTGAAAAATTCAACTTACTTATAAACCAAAATATTTGTTTTTCCTAACATGGCTAAAACTCCAAGAGAGAAATGTTTGATACGTTCGCCTTTTTTTAAAACCAAAGAATTCTTCGATACGTCGCTTCCGATTTCTCTAAAAAAATTACTAGATATTCCACAATTGTATTTAAAAATTTTCCCTTACCTTATGTTTTCATTGTAGTCGGGTGTTCTTTTGATTTTCACCTTAATTACTTCAGAACCATCAATCGAATATTCAACAACTGAAGTATCTTTCACTGGTACCACTGCGTCTGCTCCCGCAGGAATTGGATCTCCCATCGATATTCTTTTCGCTTCGCCTGACTGCAGAACTTCATCGATTGGCTGCAACATTACAAACTTAATTTATTACAATTCTAATGAGCTCATTTTTTAGAAATCTCTTAAATGTATCTACATACATTATCTCCTGCAGTTGCAACATTCTTCACAACACGTATTCCTTTGTCATCGCTCCATTTAACAGCGTAACCATCTATAATCGAAGTTGCAAATAAAGGAATCGATTCTTCAGCACGAAAATCTTCTGCTGCAATTCGATTAAACGATCTCTCCGAATGCACCGTTTCTGTGGTTTCCTCTACATCAGAACAAACATCCTCAATAATAGCAGAAGCTAATTCAACATCGATAATAGGGTAGTAGTATTTTCTTAATGGAGCCAGTTTCACCTACAAAAATAAAGACAAATTGAGTCTTCGAATTGAGTAATAGTACCTTCGCTGATGTCGAAGCTGTTAATTTTATAAATTACCTTACTAAGGCTGGTGGTTGGGACAACGGATGCTCCTGAGTCGCTTTGCATGGCTCCATGACCAGAAACCACAGATTTTTTTTGTTCTGTTAGGAGCTCCAAAGCGCGGGGTAAGACTTCCTTGATGATACCGAAGCATTCCGAAACCATTTCAGGGCTTCCCGGCAGATTTACTATCATCGTGTTGTCTCTAATATAGCTCAAGGGTCTGGAGATCATCGCCATTGGAATGATCTTCAAGCTACTGGTGATCATAGCAAAGATCATGTCTGGTAGATTGCCTGTTGTGAATATTACGTTAATTTTCAAGTCGAACCATTCTGTTAGAGTCGATTTAATTTCCTGCAAATCGTCTGGTACGATTTTTATTGCGCTTATTTCGGCCGATGGAAACTCCTTTAATATTTCTTCTTTTAATTTAGGACTTGATGAATCATTGCCTTTACCCGCATAACTGCTGTCGCTGACTGTAATGGAGAGTTAATTTGAATCAAAGAAATGTAAAATGAGTTGCCTACTTACCAGTAAGTATTCCGAAGCTTATCTGAACAGGCATAATAAAAGTTCTATAAAATATAAAGAATAGATGTAATAAGATGTAAAATGAGGGAGCGGTCTACCTAATTTTCTTTTATACAAAGTATTTATTACAAAGTACAACAGCAAGATTTTGAAAATTGACCCAACATTAAGCTAGAGAAAAAAATGTTACCAGTATTAATTTAAAAATGTTACAGGGAAGTACCAGTATTTATTTAAACCTAAATATACCTAGGTATCTTCATTAAATAAACGAAAAGATTTTACAAGTACAGGGTGTCCCAATGAAAAGTAGCCCCTATAATTAGCTTATAATTTGTAAACGCCTAATCATAAAAACATGCGGTTTTCTCAAAAATGTTTTATTTTATTACAAGTTTTGTTACAGTGATGCAGAAATTATGCATTACCAATACAGGGTGTTGTATAAAAATTTCCTCATTTAAATTCACAGTTATTAAATTTTTTTAAATGAAACACCCCGTATATATAGAGGTATTTGAACTCTTCTACTTTTCAAAAATGTATTATTCTACAAAAGAAAATGTCCTATTTCATAAAATTTGGTTAATGTGAATTTAAAAGAGGAGATTTTTATAAAACACCCTGTACAGGCGATACGAAATTTTTGTGTTTTTCTAACAAAAAGTCTATCTTCGAAAACCGCAAGTTTTATGATTAGGCGTTTAACAATTATTAGCCCATTAATTTTTGTATTTAAAGGGGCTACTTTTCATTGGGACACCCAGTATTACGAGTATATAATAATTTATGTTTGGAAGAGCAAATAAGTAATTCAATTTATTGAGAATTGCGGAATCAGAATTATGGAGATTGAGTTTTTCTTTCGATGTTTACTATACAGAAATCTGTTTGGATATAGAAAAAAAAAGTTTAAATGGACAAATTTAATATTTGCAGTTTTGTGAGACATGGTTCACAACCAAGTACATCAATTTTGCAAAATATGACACCTGTCAAAGTATTTAAATTTACTTGGACGACGAAATATATATGGGTAGACCGCAAAAATTACGGTAGACCGCCTGCTAGACTGGCTACAAAATGATTTTTCCGTACCATAATTGTGGCTGTGGCGAAAAAGCTTGTGTTGGGAAAATAAAATAAAAATAGAATTTTCTAATAAAAAAAGCAACATGTTTGCCGGTGCTTCACCGAATATTTAACGATCAACTTGAATAAACGAAATAATCGATACAACTTATTGTTGAAAATAAAGAAATAGTTTATTAAGCAAAAATACATCTTCCTGTTTAGTTTGCATTATAAGCAAAACTGTACGTGACTCGATATTTGGTTTCTTTTTTTTTAATTACCTACCGAGTCGCCATTTTTTTATGAGAAAATTTACTAACGAAAATATTATAAAAAATTGAATTCCTTCTTTTAGTCTTTGAATAGTTCAGAAGTGTCCTCCAATTATAGTTAAAGTGAATTAAAATAATCATTTATTTCAGTATATAAAAGACAATTGTGTTTTATAAAGCCATTTCTACGATATTGATGATTTAATAAAAACAATATTTATCGATATTTTAACTATTTAACACCTAAATAAACTTATAATTTATGTAATAATTATACAGACCTTTGCAATTTTTCCGGTGAACCAATTAACACAACTGAAACAGTAACTAATCTCGATGAATTAATTTCTCACTACGTTTTAATTTAGTAAGGCACTCGAACAGATACAGGGAGTTCAGATTCAGACTTCCAGTGAAGAAAGAAGTAAAAAAGCTCTGTGCTGTGGAATTTGTGGAAAATGCGACGTTGCCAAATATTCCTCTCTTTATCTGGGATTACCCTATGTGAGGATGACCAATCACAAACCCTCAATCGGCTCAATTGATATAACAGGTAAAAGGTCGAGGAAATTGAGTAGAGAATTGTCGTATGTACATACACCGTAGACAAAATAGGTACTATTTAGTACTATTATCTGTTTATATGTTAAAAAAAATCACTAAAACGAAAACGGTGCAAAGAATTGGCCAATAAACAGAAGCACGATCGTATACTACAAGGTCTGGAAACTCGACTTGTGTTATTGGCGTTATCTAGTTGAATGAAGATGTTTATAATAGTTTACTTCAATATAAGCTCTGTAAACATCCAAATTGTGACAATCTCTAGCAATCTAAATGTTGAATCCAAAAAATATCCTTTACAACCATAGACAAAATAAAAGAGACTGTTTAAAGCATAGGAAATATCAGACCACGCGATAATTCCCTACTATCCTTCGAGAGGCGCTGCTATCGAAAATTATTACCGTTCTGTGCCGTTCTTGTCGACAGTCGAGTCGAGTTGTATTTTTTAGAATGTTTCGTGACTCGTAACTAGTGTAGACGCCATTATTGTGTATAACCTAAGTTGGTAAGTTTTTATATTTTTTATTTCTAATTGTGTTTGCTTATTTAAAATGTCAACCCTAATGCAAAGAAAGGTTCATAAATGTGCATCACCAAGGTGCAATAGCTTGTTTTTTTACTTCTTCGGATAAAAATCTTCAAAAGCATTTTTTTAAATTTCCTTCCGATATTGTGCGGAAAAAAGGTGGTTCGATATTTTAGGTTTGTCCCATACATCTAAACAGCTGAGGCTTTGTGAAGTACATTTTCATGATAATAGTTTCACTAGCACTTTGAAATCACGTCTAAATAAATTTGCTTTTTCTTTAGCACCCGAAACACATTTCTCACTCTTCGCTATTTTCCCTGAATTCGATGCTGCTGATATTTTTTTTTGTTTTAGATTACATGCAATATAAGAAGCTGTAGGCCTTGAGAGCTGAAGATCCGACCAACTGTCTTGTTGTACAATTAGATTTTTTTATAACCACAATTTTACTAACAATTTTATTTAAATTTAGTGTATCCTTTCGTAACTTCTGTGATATGACTGTGATTTTTCCTTTAAATAATAGTTATTTTTTATTATTTATATTCGTTTTATGTTTATATTTGTTTTTATTATTTATTTAAATTTTCTATTTATTATTTAATTCCAATGGTTACCACGTTTCTATTTTATATAATTTATACTTAATAGTTTATATGATTGTCTTTATATCAATGTATTTTATTTCATTAATTAAGGATGTACTAATTGTAATGTGCATAATTTTTAATAAAATTTCACATGAAACACTTTTAATATTATTTTTTAATTGTATTTTAAATATTTCAATTTGTTAATTGTGTATGCATTTGATAGCCGTTTTTCATGCTTGAGAAACGGCTATTAAATGACTACACAATTGTCAAATGTAAGAAAATAGAGTAGAATTACAAAAATTAATTTTAAATTTTCCGCCAATTTTTGTTTTAAATATAGAAGGAATCTACGCTTAGTTCGCGAAAAATGTTGCTATCCGATGAGAGGCAGCACCGTCAACGTTATGCCAATTTTTAGTAAAGGATCGAACTCTCTCATCTTTCTTTCTCTATGTTTACAACATTGACGCCTACCGGTTGTTTTAGCAAACTACGCACCATTCCAGTTTCTAGACCTTATAATTTACGACAGCGAACTGAAGCTTCTTACAAATACGAGCAGTGTTGCCAGTGCTATTACAATCGTAATAGATCTATTACAATGAAGATTCATCTATTACGCTATTTCTGTACGTACGGAAAAGTACATAAGTACTTTTTTGAATTTTATTTAACAATTCTTCTTCTCTTTTTCCGAATGCCTATGTATATAATTATGAAATACTAAAAGACAATATTTCAGATCTAGTATACAAAAATCTATTACAATTTTCAAGTTCTAAAAATCTGTCAAACAACTATCTTGAAACACTTTTCTGTACGTACAGAGAAGTACAGAAGCACTTTTTTTTACTTTTTTTTAATAATTTTTCTTTTCTTTTTCCGAGAATTTCCAATAGTTCAATTCTAGTACACTTTTATGGCAAATTCTATTACGCAAGAAGTTTTGATGGTGCAACACTGAATGTGACAGTAATGACAGCAGACGAGTGACGTTTGAGGTTAGGTTCGTAATAATCGAAGAGTAAATAGGAAATTTAGCGAAGAATAACTTCTGAAAATGCCGGAAAAGAAAACGGGACAACGGAAAAAGGCCGAAAAGCGTCGAAAATTTGAAAGAAAGTAATCAAAACTTCTCCCATACTGTTACAGGAAGGACTCACGGACCTTTTAGGCCCGTTAACAAGAATACTGAGGGCTAGCATAGCCCACAGACACGTCCCCAGAGCGTGGAGTGAAAGTAGAATTACTTTCATACCAAAGCCTGGAAGAAACGGTCATCTACTGGCCAAAGACTTCCGTCCCATCAGCCTTTCCTCCTTCATCTTGAAGACTCTGGAAAGACTGGTGGATACGTATATCAAGCATAGGACTCTAGCAGCGCGCCCCCTGGCCCCCTCTCAGTACGCGTACAGAGCAGGGAGGTCCACGGAGACCGCCTTACACCACCTAGTGGGAAAGGTAGAGGCGCAACTAGAGTCTAAAGGATATGCAATAGGAGTATTTATGGACATTGCAGGGGCTTTTGATAGCACCTCTAATGTAGCCATAAAAAAAGCAATGGTCAGCAGAGGGATACCCGAAACCCTCACTGACTGGACGCAGGCCATGCTTAGAGGCAGTAAACTGTCAACAAGCATGGGAACCGACCAGGTAACAGGACGTCCAACCGGCGGGTGCCCGCAGGGGGAGTACTCTCACCCCTGTTGTGGTGCTTAGTGGTGGATGAACTACTGGCAAAACTCACGGAAGCAGGACTCTCGGTATTTGGCTATGCAGATGACATAGCCATAATAGCCAGAGGAAACTTCCTACCAACACTCAGGGACATCATTATGAATGCCCTGAAAATCGTAGAGGACTGGTGCGCTGCTGTTGGCTTGATGGTAAACCCAGAAAAGAC